GTTCGCAGGGGTGGGGGCGGCGGCTGGCCTGCCTTAGGAAGGTGGGGGGCTTGGGGTGTTTTCAGGTTGTGGTTACTGGAGGCTGGCACGTTATCCTGAAATAGAGCAACAGAGAAGATACAAACAGTGATTGATTCCGTTTATGGGTTTGTAAGCTCTGGATGACCAGGTAGCCCACAGATGATCCTCTCAAATGGTCTTTAATGTTACCTGTGGGCGCTAATCCCACGTTTTCCGTGAGGGAAAGATTGCTATTTTCTTTGGCATATTTATTTAGATTTCTAAGCATCCCCTGGAGACCTAACTTATGCAGGAGTTTTCATCCCTCTTTTAAGAGGCCAAGTTTCATCCTAGCATTTAATGAGCAAATCAGCTGTACTTCAAGAGAATTGGGGGTTTTTTGACCAAGCAAGATATAAAATTCACTATTTTCTGGCAACACAATGCAAAGGCATCAATTCACTGGCCTTTATTGAAGTTGGGAATCAGAAGAGACTATGGAACAGAGATATCATTACTGAAATCAAATGGATCTTGGCTAAAAGCAGAGAATATTTGAAAGATGGTTGGTAATATGGATCTTGATCTTCACTTACCAGTAATGGTCCGGCTCTTTATCTACCCAGTTTTGAACCTCAGACCTTTCACATGTGGCTCGAATGTGATAACCACTACACTAGCCGAGCCACGCAAATTTTAATCTCTGTCAGTGCCTCTGCAAGTTGGGCAATGACTGACGATGGCACAAGAAGAACTGATGCCTTTGAGTTGTAGTGTTAGAGAAAAGTACTGATGTTTTGGTGTGAGTTGAACTGGTTGTAAAGATAAGCGGTCAAAGTTATCTGTAAAATTTTGTTTCTTGTGCCAAACCATTCATTCATGGCCGAAGTGGTTAAACCAGAACCAAATCAGTTGCCATCAAGTCAACCTGGACATAAGTCAACTCAATGTGTGTCACATTAGGACTGTGCCTCTGAGGGTTTTTGGTGTCTTATTATTTGGAAGTAGATCATACCTCTGGGTGGACGCAAACCTCTAACCTTTCAATTAGCATAACTGCACCACCTACGGACCAGAATGGGTAAGGGACCTGCTAAATTTTGTGCAAACAGCAAAAACTCTTCTGCTTTACATGCCCTACTTTGTTAGGACAAAGAAGTGAATGAGAAGAATTATTTCTGGGTTATAGATAACCTTTGAGCAAACCTGAGCATAAAGGATATCTTTTCTTCAGTCAGCCTTCCCCAGCCTTTGCTAAAAACATAAAGTTTCTTGTCTGAGCATTCTGAGGACAAAGGCCGAGGACTTGGACCACGAGGGAGGAGTCAATTATAACCTTCAATCCTTCTTGCATAACAGCTACAGGCAATGGGGTTGACGAGGAATCAGGAGCCCTCTTCTTCTAGGTTCCTTTTCTTAACCGTGTGGAAGTGGGCTGGTTAATCAAGGATAGCATGAGCTTGACAATACTTGTTATTATCTATGCCTCAAGTTTTAGAAGAGAACAAGTGAGATAAAAATGTGAGATCTCAAAAGTCAAGTCATAATTTATGTGCAATTGGTAGAAACCAAGGCATAAAACTAGACTGAGGTTAACAGAATCCTATCTTTGGATGGTACAATTAAGTGCTTAACAGCTAGCTGAAAGGTTGGTGGCTCAAACTCAGTAGAGTTTCCAGAAAAATGAAGAAGAAAATCTTGGCTATCTACTTCTGAAAGGTAGACTGTAGTCTTGCAATCATGGCAAGTTGCTCAACTCTGCACAGGCGGGGCTGCCCTGTATCAGAATTGAGCCCATGTTCTTACAGGCCATCAGATTGACTACAACTCATAATGACTCTACGAACAGCATATCTGAATGAAGCCCTATCCTGCACCATCCTCAGGATCTCTGATATGCTGGAGTCCACTTTTATAGTCACTATGCCAACCTATCTTGTTGAAGATCTTCTCTCTTTCCATTCCCTTTCAAGTAGTTCCAAGACTGGCCATTCTTGATAACTTGTATGAAGTATGTGAGACCAAACTTCTAAGCATAATACTGGTGTACTTTCTACACAAGAAAGTCAGACTAAGTTTGTCCATTGGCAGGCCATGGGAATTTTCAATACTCTTCTCCAATATCACAATTCAAGGGCATCAATTATTCTTGTCATACTTGTTCACTGTCCAACTTTCAGATGCATATAAAGCAACTGAAAATATTTTGGCTTGGATCAGATGCAACATAATGTTGAAACTGACATCACTGCTCCTTAGCACTTTGGAGAGATCCCTGACAATAGATTTTCTCAGTGGAACACATCTTTTGATTTCCTGACTGGGGCAACCATGTTTGACTGTGGGTCCAAGTAAAATAAAATCCTTGGCAAAATTAATCTTTTTTTCTTCTATCATGATGTAGCCTACAATCCAGTGGTGAAGATTTTTTAAAAATTAATTTTAATGAAAGTTTATAAAGACTTAGGGTTTCCATTCATTCATTGTTGCACTTTTTTCCCTGCACTCCCCCCCCCCCATTTACTCTTCTTGAAAACCAGTGGTGAAGATTTTTTCTTTCTTGCTGTCAAGCTGTAATCCATATTGAATATCTGTAATAAAATATCTTCATTCAAGTGTAATACAATATCTTCATTCAAGCACTTCGTCACTTTCTGCAAGCAAGGCTGTATCATCTGCATTCAATACAGGCTGTAGATGAGTCTTCCTCCAATCCTGAAACCATTCTTTTTCATTTAGTTCACCTTCTTGAATGGTTTGCTTTGCATACAGATAGAGTAAGGAGAGTGAAAGGATAAAATACTGATACACCTTTTCTGATTTAAACAATGCAGTGTTTCCTTGTTTTGTTTGGAATGCAATATAGTATATTTGTCTATGGATGGGTTTTACATGAACACAATTTAGTGTTCTGGAATTTACATTCTTCTCAATATTATCCATAATTCATTATCACCAACATAGTTAAATGCTTCTGTTTAGTTAATAAAACACAGATAAGCTGGTATTCTGTGCTTTCAGTCAAGATCATCTGACATCAACATATCCCTCATTCCATAGCCTCTTCTGAATCTAGCTTGAGTTTCTGGAAGTTCTGTGTTGATGCACTGTTCAAGCTATTTTCTGGATGATATTTAGCAAGATTTTATTTGCATATGCTATTAATGATATTGTTAGATAATTTACACATCCTAGTAGATCACCTTTTTTTTTCCCTCTCCCCCACTTTGGAATGGGAATATGGATCTCTCTCCAGTCAGCTGGCCAGGTAGCTTTTTCCAAATTTCTTGGCACAGCCTGGTGAGCATGTCCATCATTTGCCTGCTGAAAAATCTCAATTGGTAGTCCATATATTCCTGGGCCCTTACTTTTTGCCAATACTTTGAGAGCAGCTTGAACTTCTTCCTTACCTTTGGTTCTTGATGATATGCTACTTCCTGAAATGGTTCAGTGTTGACCAATTCTCTTTGGTACAGTGATTCTGTGTATTCTTTCCATCTTCTTTGGTTGCTTCCTGCATCATTCAATATTTTGCCCATAAAATCCTTTAGTTTTGCAATTTGAGGTTTGAATTTGTTCTTCAAAGTTTTATCAGCTTGAGAAAAGCAATGTGTTCCTCATTTTTGGTTTTCTAATTCCAGCTCTTAGTACATTTCATTATAATAGTTTGTCTTCTCTAGCTGTCCTTTGAAACCTTCTGTTAGTATCTCTTTTCAACATTTCTTCCCTTTGTTTTCTCTTCTTTACATTCCAGTGCAAATGTAGGGTCTCTTCTGAAATCCAATTTGATCTTTTCTTCTTTCCTGTCTTTTTAATGACCTTTTGCTCTTTTTATGGCTGTTGTCCTTGATGTTATCCCAACTCATCTGATCTTTAGTTATTAGTGTTCAATGCAGCACATGTGTGCTTGAGATGGCTTCCAAATTCAGTTGCGATAGATTCAAGGACATATTTTGGTTCTTGTGGACTTGTGTTAATTTTCTTCCATTGCAAGGTGAATTTGCACTTGAGTAATTGATGGTCTATTCCACAGAGAACCTCCCTTGTTTGGACTGCTGATACTGAGCTTTTCCCAGTAACTCTTTCCACAGATGTAATCAATCCTATCATGTGAGGCCCTTTTGTACAAATGTCATTTATTTATTTATTTTTAACAAAGGTTATTTACAATGAAAGAATCATTGTTCAAAATGATCTTTTAAAAATTTTATTATTTTATTCAATTTATTCATTGCTGCACATTTTGTTCCCCCTCTCTCCTGCCCCCTCCTGCAATGCACCCCTTGTTCCAGATTGCGGTCATGCATATATTGCCTAATCATATATTCCTTTTGGACAGTTCTTCCCCTCATCTGTTCTAGTGCAGTGTTCATTATTTATTTCCTCTTTTCCCATGCTTTCTCCACCCCCCACCCCAAATCTTTCCTATTTTATAACAGAGGTGTCATGCAGTATTTGTAATTTTTTGTGACTGAGATAGTTTACTCAACATAATGTCCTACAGGCTCCCCTATGTTGTAATGTTTTACAAGTTCATTGTTTGTCAATGTTGCATAATGTTCTATTGTGTGATAGAACCACAATTTTTCTATCCATTGTTTCTTGTTGGGTACTTGGGTTGCTTCCATCTCTTTGCTATTTTGAATAATGCAGAAATAAACATGGATGTGCACACATCTGTTTGAGTTGTGGCTCTGGT